AGTCAAGTAGGGCAAGGGTAGAAATACAACCGCTACTCTGCCCTTGTCAGAGATCATTAAATATATACTTATACCTAAACATCCAAACTGTTTCAGTGCTATGGCTCGCTCCATCTCTGTTTTTCCCAAAAATAATTTGGCTGAGAGGACCTCTTTGAGACCCATGGCTGAATTCTCATTTTGGTCCTGTTCTTTGTAAAAGACTATGAGATAGGCTGTTTTGCTGCCCACACTTCTACATCTTATTCTTTGAATGCATATTTCTCATTATGCATCAAATTAATCCTTTCAAAGTGCTAGGTTAACAATGGATTTAAAATATTGTTCTATAAGTCTTACAATACTGTGAGACAGTAGGATATTCTTCATCTTTAGAAGCATGACCCTTGTTTCCACAGTAGTCATCACTATACAAGTTAAAAATAAGTTGCATTGAAACAATCTCTTGTAGAACAGGAGAAAAAAAATTATCCCAGGTACTATCTGGCTAAGTGAAATGAATAATATAGCACAGTGAATGACAATTTAATTACCAGTCAGATAGAAAAGTATAATACAGATATAATTTAATCCCCCTCATTCATGCTTTCTTGGGAACAAAGTGTTCTAAACAGATTAAATATTAAATATTGTTTAATAGTAGCAGCAGCAAGAAAGCTGAAACCAGATGGCCTCCATTAGAGTTCCAAAAGTAGATTGGTGATTCATCTAAAACGCATCAGTCTTCCACAAAATCTTGGCAAGTGTAATTACCATATATTTTAATTTATGCCGTCATGATGTATTAGTGACTACAGCCATCCAGGTCAGCCTACTTCTTTTGTCAATGTGGGTAATCTAACATACAGTAATTTAAGGTGATGTCTCTTAAGTTGTATCTCTATGGTGAAGTGAATGAAGAAAATAGTTACCATGGTTGGTGTGACCAGTTACAAAATATAATTTGATGGAAGGAAAATAGCAAGATTGTTTCCAATAATCTCATTTTAGCATCCCAGGATGTTCCATACTATTCCACCTTAGCTTTGTCCTTTTTTGAAGTTCATATCCAAATGTAGCAATAGGCTACAGTAATGCTTTCTTTCTCTATTTTTTTTTGTTGTTGTTGCAAGAATGAATTGGGCAATATGAAGCTCAGGCATTCTTGTTGCTGTTTGTAGTATGATAGATGCATCTAAACAATTAAAAACCGTAGGTAGGGTAGGGAACCTGATGAGTAGAAGATACTATGGGGCTATAACCACATACAAACATTATGTTGCTTATTCTTGTGCCAAATGAAATCCTTTCCTATCATAGGGATAGAATTTGAGAAAGGGGAAAAAAATCTAATTCTATAATTTAAGGAAATATACACTCCAGGGTTCCAGACTATCTTGGCAATTAATTTTGCTGTAGTAATGATAAGAGTCTCTCAGCAAAGCCCAATAAAGTACCTGTGATACAATTTCAAAATGCAACCATGTGTCAAAAGCTAGTATACTTGTACATTCTGGAGATACGAGGGATCAATGTTAATGATTATGCTATAAATGTTATTTATTATGCTATTGATTAAATGGGGTGGAGATACCGTTATTCTTAAGATGCTCCAATATGCTGGACATACGACAGGTAGAATTGAGGGAATCATTCTTACAACTTATCACTTGACAAGGATTTTTATACTGTAGAAGGCAATATGCTGCTTCCACTCTTAGCCAAATGTAGGCACATTTATCCACAATAATATTCCATGTCTTAGAATAATGAAATTATCATGTAATAACATGCAGGTAGTCCTCAAGTTACAACCATAATGGAGGCTGCCCATTATGGTCGTAAGTAATTAAGCGAACAGAACAGTCATGAGTGAGATTACTAGAGGTATTAAAGAAACTCCCCATTGTTTAGTTTTGCTAAAAACAGGAAATGCACGGCATAGAGACTCCAAACTGAAGATGTATTTGACCCCACCTTTGGGGCTACCATGAACATTTCCTGCAAGAGTTACCTGTAATTCACAGTTAAAAATTCAGAATAATGATGGATTCTGTTTAATAGATCTATTATTTTTAAAGGCCATGAATTTTTAAAAATCTTTGGATTGCCATAAGTAAACAAGAATTCTAATGTTTAAATTTTTTTTGACAAAAAACACTCTTAAATGGAAAATGATGAGAAAAAGAAGTGCAAAAACATGGTTTAAAAACAATTTAACAAAACCATTCTGTGCTAAAATGTAATTTATAATATATTATCATATCCTTGATTTTTCTTATTCCTCTTTTTATTTCTTTAAAGTTGATTATTGGAGTAACGCAATATTCTTCACATGGATCTTTAAAAATATGTATTTGGAATCCTAGAGATAAAAAATCTATTCTACTATAAAAAAATCTTGGTAAATTTTCCAGTAAAGGGTCTTCAAACTTGGCAAGTTTAAGACTTGCGGACTTCAACTCCCAGAATTCCTGAGCTAACATGACTGGAGAAATTGAAGTCCGCAAGTTTTAAAGCTGCCAAGTTTGAGGACCCCTGCAGTAAGGCAAAACTGTAAGCACGTTATCAAGAACATGATGTTGCTTCCATGAAGGGGACGGGTGGTTTTTTTTTATGGCTCTGTACTTATGCTGCAATTTTTAATGTTGCAAGCTTCCTAGAGTCACCTATGTATGAGCTGGGTAGCCATATAAATTTGTTAAACAAACAAACATTCCAGTTCTCCCTTGACAATTCCAGATGACTTGGACTGGGAGGAGCTGGTTTACATCAGATACTGTGTTTCTCACAAAATAAGGCCGGGCCTTATTTTTTTTTGAGCCCCGAAAAAATGGCTAGGACATCTTTTCGGGGGTGAATTAATTTCTTCCCCCCCGCGCACCAGCGCCGTCTCCAACAATAGCGTCTGAGTCGCTCCCACTTTTCCCCCATCCCCATAATAACAGGAAAAAAAAAAAGATTTTGAGGTATCTTGGAGTGCCACGCGCTGCGTTTTGGTTTAATCCCGAGCGGCTGGGTAGGCGTGAGAAATGAGCGTCTCTGCTACCCTTGGTGCTCCAGCCTCGGGCTCTGCAAGTTTGCAAAAGTCCCGGTGCGCAGCCCATTCCTGCATTCCAAGCGCCCAGGCTGAGCTGCAGCTGTCTCTCTCTCGCCAGCGCCGTCTCCAATAACAGCGGCAGCAGCGACGGGAACCATGGAAGTTAAAGGTGGCTCCCCCACCCGAGAAGCAGCTGAAATGCTTCCACCACTGCTGCCGCTGTTATTGGAGATGACGCTGGCGAGGGACAGCTGCAGCTCAGCCTGGGCGCTTGGAATGCAGGAACAGGCTGTGCACTGGGACTTTTGCAAACTTGCAGAGCCCGAGGCTGGAGCACCAAGGGTAGCAGCAGGAGAGACGCTCGCTCGACTCTTCTCATGCCCACCCAGCCGCTCGGGATTAAACCAAAATACAACGCGCGGCACTCCCAGGTACTTCAAAATCTTTTTTTTTTCCTGTTGTTATGGGGACGGGGGAAAAGCGGGAGCGATTCAGATGCTGTTGTTGGAGACGGCGCTGGCGAGGCGCCAGCACTGGTGGGAACTGTGGAAGCTACGGAGGCCTGAGAAGCGGCTGAAACACTGCCAGACATCCATGCCGACGCCGCCCGCCTGCTGACCCGGGTAAGGGAGGGGTAAGGGAGCCCTCCGTGCTCCACCATGGTGTTAGGAGCGGCTGATGGTGAGGCGTAGCTGCCCGTGGGGCACACCTAATGGCAAGTTCCCCCCATCTTCCCCCCCCAATTTTGCATGTTTTAAACTAGGCCTAAATTTGGGGGGAGGGGCTTAATTTCATTTTATGCCTAGAAAACATTCTGGGTCTTCCTATTGGGGGCGGCCATATTGTTGGAGAAACACGGTAGTAACTCTGTGAGGTGCTCATGCTTACTGTTATTGCTCTTTGATCCTGCCCTATTGGGTACTCTGAAGCTGCAGTCCCTTAGCTATGAGCCTATTGCATTGTGTATCATTTAGTATGCAGATTCGGAAGATTCTCTAATATTCAACATGGCACATTTAAAAAGAAAACATTATTGTCTAGTAGGGCTAAAGCAATTTAAAATTGTGGTGTTCTGACAGGCACTTTTAATGTTTTACTTAGTGCCCCTTTCAACTCACTAATACAGAAATTACTCTATAAAGTCTAATACTGAGCTAACAGGTGATTATTTACATCTTTTGTATTTCAGTCCTGAGAAACACTACCTCCTTATGCATCTCAAACAGGCAGTGACATTTTCATATAGTACTTAGCATAGTACAATCTATTCAGCCAAATCTGCACTCTGGATCCTAATGTAGGTTGCCTAATTTGGTATGAATTTACCCAGGTCTATCTTCTTCAGCAACCCATCGTTTAGTGCAATATGTGAATCTTTCATGTATATGGTTCCCTGTCACAGAATTCTGCATAAATATGTGTTTACCCTAAATACATGCAATTAATATTTATGCATATAAATCTGGAGTATGGCATTTATAACTTTCCAGAATTTCTGATCTACAATTCCTGGTATCTATAACCATTAATACAAATGTCAGTACTACAAGATTTGGAAAATTTCCAAATTATTCTTGACATAAACAGATCAAGTGTTTTAACATGATAAAAATATGTATAAACCAGACAAGTAGACTTATCATTCAAAAAGCAGGATTTTAGAATACACCGTTTTATTAATGAAAAATAAACATGGAATGTATTTAATAGTACAAATAACTATGAACATGAAAAAGCTAGAATTGAACAATAGAAGAGAAACTTCTTTTATCTTTTTAATTATTAACATTAATTCGGAAATGCATTTTACAACCTTGAAAATTATTATTTTCACCTGCTATCTGGCATGAAATATGTAATACAGACGGTCCTCTTCTTGATTTTCAGCAGAGCTATATTTGCAAATAAATCTTTTTTTGCTTGCAGCACAGGCAGCTATTCTCAGTAGAGCTGCTAATTGTTTTTTTTTTTTGGGGGGGGGGGTACAATAGCTTCAATGAATGGGGGAAGGATGAAGCACAAAGGCACTTTTTTTTCTTCTTCTTCTAGAGAATAAAATGCAGGCACAAGTCTTGATTAATTCTGCAAATAGATTTAGATCTACAGAGTAATTTTGCCCATATCAAATAAGGTCTAGATGATATTTTCATAAACTTCAAATTTGTACTGAATTCCATTCTCTTCCTGGATATCTACAGGGATACCTGTATAACTTGAGAGAGAAATAATATTTTAGTGGATAAATACTTTTCTAAATTGAAAGTAACATGAAATGTTATTTTTTACTCATACTGTATTGTTAAACCAAATATATTTCCTCAAGATTTACTTCAATAGAGATACATCAGTGAAATGTTTTATATTGCTAGTATAAATACATGGAATTGATACAAGATATTTTTGTCGATATAATACTTACTTAGGTAGAAGTCTGTATTTTTTAAGATCAATTTCTGGGAAAAATGTATCACTTTCAAAGTCATGCATAATTCTTGTCACAAACAGTTGGTGATGGATTGGCCTCTCCATTGCTTCCTTTGAAAAGAGCAAGACATAGTGAATGAGTTTTAGTTATTTAGCAACATGAAAAATATTTGTTCCCTAAACATTAACACTATTCTGATAAAGCAGTTTTAATACAATGTTTAAAGAAAAATAAAATAAATATTGGGCTTAAATAGCCAAAGAATAAAAAGGCTGAAGATGTGTTCCTAAAAACACAAGAATAAACTTGCTGGAATAGGAGAACTGCCTATCCCAGCATTAATTATGTAGTTGTATCTCTAAGTCACAACAGGACAGAAAAAAGACCCTTTGTTTATTACCAGCTCACTAATACAAGCATTTCCTCTATATGGCTGGGTCTTCAGAACATATTAGAGTACACTAAAGTGTAGTTGGCTAATTTGTATTTCAGCATGGACGTTTAGGCAAATTGGTTAATTGAGAAAACAATGATTAAAGGAACCACGAGTTAGCATGTAGTGCAAACATGGGCAGAATGTACATTAATATAAAGAAGAAAACGTTTTCATGACTCGGTAATTTATCCTTGCAGACTGATATCCTATCAAGAATTTATTTTGTAGCATCATGTTAAAATATTAATGTGATATATACTGCAGGATGGTTCCTTGGTGTTCTCTGACCTTGGTTGTTTTCTTGCAGATTCTTTATAACCAAACTAGGTAACATCATCAGTGCTAGAAAACAAATGAGTCCAGAGAGTGCCAAGGAAACTTCATATCAATCTGGAGTTACAAATATACTCCTTTATTGTGATATAAGTCAGGGGTCCCCAACCGCCGGTCCGCGGACCGGTACCGGGCCGCGGAACAAGCCTTACCGGGCCGCTGGTTGCTGGGCGCCGCCATCTTTTTTTTGGAACGCTCACCGGAAGCGCCTTTTCGTCATAAAAAGATGGCGGCGCCCAGTTGACGCCGGTACCGGGCCGCGGCGCCCAGCTGATGTCGGAACCGGGCCGCGGCGTCGAAAAGGTTGGGGATCCCTGATATAAGTAAACCATTTTGAAACAATGTGTCTCTTGATCAGTGATTTTCTTTAGCTTCTAGATGCAAAGGGAAACATTTCTTGTAAAATAGTATGAACATTAGCAGATAATATAGTCTTATCTGTTAAGATCACTTTCCTGCTTTTCTTTCACTGAACACTTCATTTGAAGAAAATTCATTTAATGCATTATTAACCACAGCTTTGACAAATGCCAGTTCATGCAAATCTAATCCAATATTTTAAGTGTAAGCACTTACAGGGAACATGACTGCTCTAATTATAAATATGTTCAGGTAAAAAAGAAGAAACACATTTTCACTGGCTACTGTTCTATCATTTACGAGCCAAGAAAAAGTATCAAATAAGATTTGCCTAAGATCATACTATTCACTAATATTCTCATTACATTCTTCTAAAAATGAACAATACTATGACACTTTAATATACTATACTTGATTGGTTTACAATAGTGGTGGGATTCAATTTTTTTACTACCTGTTCTGTGGGTGTGGCTTGGTGGGCGTAGCAGGGGAAGGATACTGTAAAATCTCCAGTCAGAGGTGGTATTTGCTGGTTCTCCGAACTACTCAAAATTTCCGCTACTGGTTCTCCAGAACTGGTCAGAACCTGCTGAATACCACCTCTGGTTTACAATCTATGCAAATGCAGAAAATTTGCTTAATTCAATAATATATGGTAAGGCCATCTAACTGATAAATGCTATTAAAAATAAAAACAGCAGTAAGAATGCAACTTAGTTTGCATAACACAACTGAACAAGACTCTGAACTGAACTGAACAATCTTGGTTATTTACCTCAGCCATGTGTGCTACAGCAGGAGTCTCCAACTTTCAGTCAGTGGACCAGTCCTAGGCCGCAGCATGGCAAAAACCAGGCCATGCAAACAAGTGAAGCCACATCTGCAGGATGCAGGCAGTACACAAAACCACGCCCCCTCTGGTCCACAGAAAAACCTTTCTCTATGGAACTGGTCCCTGGTGTTCAAAAGGTTGGGGACTGCTGTACTATAGCACACAACTGGGATGGCCGACACATTGAGTGGTCATGTACATTGTTCTTGAAATATAAAAGGCCATTCAATTTGCACTTTGTGTCTCCCTCCTGCCCTCAACATGCTGGACCTAAACCTGTGCTGGGATAATCACTATTGTATAAACCTACCATTTCTGCCTGAAACAACATGTCCATTGCTGGAAGAAGGAAATGGCAAGAGGTTATATATTGGCTTGTTTTCATGGCCAATAAATTCAGTTCCCTTAAAGTTAATTAGTTGACCAAGTTTTCTTGTTTGCTTAAAATTATAATGGAAATGTCTTTTTTAAAAATTTGTGCTAAAGCATTTTTGTTGTTTGGGTTCTCAAACAACTATTATTAACTTTGGTTGTCACTTATTTTGTCCTCGAGGACTCGAGGCAAGAATAAATTGTACTATGGATTCTCTTTTAAGACACTGCTGGTCTTGAGCAGGATATAGTCAGATAAAGAATCCTGGATAAGAATTCCACACTCAGGCCAGCAGAATATCCAAATACACTAAATTAGTTGATTTGAGATTACTTAGGTGCCTCTCAAAGTTGTTCAAGAAAATTCATTACATGAAAATATTATGTTCTTGTGATGGTGGAACAACCAAATTGTTAACTCTTATTTTGCTAAAATGAAATTTTTATGTTACAACACTTTAATGTTTTTATCAACATTATAATTCTGCTGAAGCAGAATCCATAGCATTGTCCGAGGCTTATTCAGAAATAATCTGGTATGTACAATTGCTAAAGGATGTAAATGTGAATGTAAAAGAAGCTGTACCAGTGTTTGAAGACAACGTGGCATGTATAAAAATGGCAACATGAGATCGCAGGAGTAAACAGGTTGACATCAAATACTGTAATATTAGGGACGCTGTAAAGGAGAAACTGATAAGATTCCAGCAGTGTTCTACTGACCGTAATATAGCTGATATGTTACCAAAGCATGTATCTGTGGAAAAATATCAGGACTATGTTAAAGCATTTGGATTATCAGCTGTTCAGCTTTAAAAAGGAGGAGTGTTAAGATATTGATTTAATAGCTGACCAGCTGCTGTAAGGCTGATACAATGAGGATGAATCAGCATGGTTATTGCCGGTTTAAGATGGAGGATGGGTCCACAGGGTTTTATCACTTTAAGAAGCTGTATATATAAATGAGGCCATGAGAGGGCATACCTCTCTCTCTTTGTGTTCTGTCTCCATTGTAGTCTTCCATGCAGAGTAAAGAAGATTGATTACTTGCCAGGTATTTGCCTACCACGTATATGTATGTATATAGTTGTCTTATATATAAACCACTGTTAAAAGGCAAAGCCTCTGTGTGCTGTGTTTGCTCCTGGATTGTCTCATAATAATAGTTATGCTGCAAACACTGTTATACTTTTTTTATATATAATCAGATGAATTTTTGTACCAAAACTTTCCAATGACCGAGATCATTACATAATGTTCATTATAGCCAAGTATTCATGACAGCAAACAGAATTTGCTATCAACTAATATATAATTTGTTATTGGACCACCATTAACATAATTTGAATTAATATTTCCATTATTGGATAACCAAATTATTCCATGCTATAATCATTCAAGTTATTATAAGGAGGGATAAAATATGAGAACTCCTATATACTTGGTTCTCATGCAATTGATTATATCTACTCGTATTTATTATAATTCTTATGTACAGTATAAAAGAAACAGATTATAATATGTTCTAATTTACCCCCAAATTAATCCACAGTCTAATAAGATACTACAAAGTTGCTACATTTCACCAGATGTTACATCTCCTTTTTTCATAATATAACTTCAAAATCTTAAATATTTAGAAAAACAGCAAAATACAGAACGTTCAACAATGTGATTCTATCAATGAGTCATACCTTAACCTGCCCCTTTCCTTCATAGCTGTTCCAAAGTAATAACAAATCAACATATTCAAATATGTGCAAGATGATTATCAGTTATCACTTTAACACCAAGGATTCATTCCATGTGAGAACCTAACACAGAGTAAGGGCTGTTAGAGAAAAGAATAACTTTTCTCTTTAACATTTCAAGTAATTTTGTATAAATAATTAAGAAATTATTAGTAAGTCTTTAGTATTTTTACTTACGGATTAAAAACAGCATTCCCAGTGCAATATAAATTCAATAAGTAAATAAATAATTTACATGGATAAGTGATAAAAGCTACGTCTAGACATTGTTGGTACATAAATGCAAACAAGACAAAAATATTATATCTTGGTGTTGACTCAGATTAATAATTACAGCCATATTTGTTAAAATACGTATATGGGTCACTGTATCTAGGTTTTTGCTTTTTTTGCTCAAATTTGTAACAGTTTTAGGATTCTATTCAATGTGTAGTAAAGCTTGGTAAAAATGCTGTCTGCAATACAGCAGGGAGTAAACTACTTTGTCACAAAATACAAATCTATCATGTGCTTGAGATTTATTATATTAATTACATTAAAATATGGAGTCCTTTTGCAGGAAAAGGTCTAAAGCCATACTAAACAGAAAGAGAAAAATATGTTTTTTGGAGACTTAAATAAACACTGCTTTTTAGATGCGGAGTAAATTATTTTATTAGCATGGGTAACAAAAGCCCTTCATTTCCCATTATTCACTAACTGATAAGTTAAATATCACATCTCTTGTTCTCCTTACAAATGAGTAACACTTTGCACAATGCATTAATCAAAATGAATCAGCTGATGTTCTCTCTTGACTAATTATTTGCTACTGACAACTGTTCATGAGTTTCTGCTCAGAAAAATCTGTTCAGTAGTTTTGAACCAGGTCATTTAAACCATTCGTTTTTTGCCTTTCTGCATATAAAATTTGTAAAGGTTGCACAAAAAGTATATGGATATTTTCACACCCTCAATGAAATAAGTGGCACGGTAGTAAGTAGTACAATCTATATATTTTCAAGTCATACTAAATGAAAAATCTAAATGATAATCCACATTGAAACTGTACATATGCATTTTCAATCCAAATAACATTTTATAGCTAGAAATCTAGAAATTGGTGAGATTATAATTAAATTAATGTAACGTGGCTGAAAATTTCTGCTGCAAACTAACCTGGCAATGGTTTTCCTAAACATTTTTTTGCAGTTTTATTAAATGAAAATGTTCAAAAGCAAATTTCTATTAAAAATTGAACTACATCAAATAAATATATTCATATCCATTACCAACAGATAATGAATATCCATGAGTAATTCATTTTTAATACTTCCCATTCATGACATAGAGCAGGCATATCCAACCCACAGCCCACAGGCCAAATGCAACCCCGAACAGTTAGTAATATGTCCCCACAAGATAGTAAACTTTTAACATTATGTGATTTTTAGTGATAATTATATATTTTATATGTGGCCCAAAATAATTCCTCTTCACTCAATGCAGTCCAGGCAAGACAAAAGGTTGGGCATACTCTATAGCAGGGGTCTCCAATCTTAGCAACTTTAAGACTTGTGGACTTCAACTCCCAGAATACCTCAGCCAGTAAAGCTGGCTGTAGAATTCTGGGAGTTGAAGTCCACAAGTCTTAAAGTTGCCAAGATTGGAGACTTCTGCTCTATAGTATAGAGGCTATTTTTCAGAAAGCCTACAGTAGTCTTCACTTAACAACAGTAATGGGGACTGGAATTTCCACCACAGTCACAAAGCACAATGTCATGTGATTGCATCCCTTAGTGGCAGCAATCCTGGCAGTCCCTGTTTCCTTCTTAAGCAAAGATGACAGGTCATTAAGCAAGGATCTCATACGTGTGGGATTTGAAATTTCCTGCTGGCTTCCAATAAGCAAAGTCAAAGGGAAAGCCACAAAAAGTCACATATTCAAATCACAATAGACTTTTTCTTAGGTGGACTGTAAGTCGGCCATTGGACAATATTATCTGCTGGTGTTTGAAAACAATTTGAAACACACTTTAAGGCAAAATCAGTCATATTCGCTTTGAGCTGGAGGGTGAAGGGGCAAAACCTTATACTGAGAGTATTTACACCAAGACAAATTCCTTGTGTGTCCAATCACACTTGGCCAATAAAGTATTCTATTCTATTCTATTCTATTTATTCTATTCTATTCTATTCTATTCTATCTAAGATCACGTGGGATTCTTTTGAGCCTATGACTTTTGAGGAAATTAACACGGTCCTCTAAGGAATGAAATAATTTACAAATTACATCACTGTCCTTCTTGGATGGCATGTGCAGCCAGAGAGGGCATGATAGCATTGACACTGGATGCATAAATTTAAACTTGGGTTTGGTCACATAATGACTCACTGAATGATTGAATTGCTTAGTGACCAAAATTCCAGTCATATTTGTGGTCATAAGTTGAGGAACATCTTTATCTTAAAAAATAGTTTTGTTTTTTAAATATAATTTTAAATTTCTTTGGTGTTTCGTTATTTATTATTATTTATCCCAAATATACTTTTTTCAAAAGAAATCTGGACTTTGTTTTTTCCTTGAAGATGTTTTGCTTCTCATTCAAGAAGCTTCCTCAGCTGAAGAACCTTCTTGGATGAGAAGTGAAACGTCTTCAAGGAAAAAATCAAAGTTCAGTTGTCTTTTGAAAAAGCACTTTGGGGACAACCATGACCTGGATTACTGAGAATCTCCATAGACATTTATTATAACTTATTTATTAAATTTATGTGCTGCCTGTTTCACTGCACTAGGCAGTTTACAACAATTAAAAAGGAAGAAAGGAAAAGGGTGTAAACAGAAATAAAATAATAGAATAAAATAAACAGTGAAAAAGAACATGTGAATACATCAATATGGTAATGAAAAGATGTATGGGCAGAGACTAGAAAGCAGGGAGGCGGAGTCTGCCATCAATCCAGCAGCCAGCTACAGCATGGCATTCCTCCATCTGGTCTCCAGGCCAACCAGGTCTTACAGAAAGATAGGAGGATGGGGACAGACCTTACCTTGGAGGGCAAGAGGTTCCAAAGGGCTTTCGTTTTAGATTTAGTTTAGACATGAATATTTGAAAATATTTTATGAATCTCAGTGAAACTTTTAAGTATGTAAGAAAAATACAGTATATTTACAAGATATGTTTGACAGAAAACTTCAAAATATTAAGGACTCATATCAATGAACCATAAACAATATTCTGAGAATGCTAAGTTATGAACAAAATATTTAGATTCATATAACAATATTTTGTTACCAATTATATTATTTGTTATATTAAGGATATGATATTCCAAACTAATAAAGGATTTGTAATAACTAGATTGCCATGGCCCAAAATGAAAAAAAGAAAAAATAGAAAGAGTGGGCTCCTGACATCATTATATTTGATGACTTTCATGCACTTCACATAATTAAGGTAAATAACAATCAGTAAATAGAATTAGAATGTTTATAAAATGGAACAATTTATTGCAGGAATATTTTAATCAAATTGTAACATTGGATCAGTTGCAGTTTAAATTGTATTAATTTATTTTACTGGCTTTTATGTCCTTTACAATTCAATAATGATGATTTGATTTTTTTTTTGCATCACCATTATGAATTTTATTCAAACTGATTTAGCTTTATTAAGTTGAAAATGAAGATAAGAGGGAAAAAAATCACATATTCTGTGAAACCTGAAAACTGTTATAAAACAACTAATGAATCCCCAAAAGTTCATCTCTGATTATTAGATTATTTAAAGATGTTCTGTGTTTAAATCATACCTTATATATTGAACTTCCTCCAACTATCCAAACCTTGTCTACCTTTCTTTTCATCTCTGGTGTTTCAACATGATCTAGGGCTTCTTCCAGACTTTTAGCCAAGTAATGGGCTCCTTCAGGAACATCCCTTAAATACATGATACCAATGTTTTATTCTTGAGGTGTATCCAGTCAGAGCTGAAAGAGCTTCTTGGATGAGAAGTGAAATGACTTCAAAGGAAAACAGGAAAGTCCAGTTGCCTCTGGAAAAAGTACAATTTTGCTCTCCCAATCAAACCAGCAGAGGGCACACCCATTTTCTACAATACTATATTCCACAGTTCCCCAATCTTTCCAGCTTTGTGGACTGGTGGAAGGGATGTATGTGCACACTTGCCTGCTGTTTCCATGGCCCAGTTGCAAACAGCTCACAGCCCATTTGTGGCCTGCAGCCCAAGAGGTTGAAGATTCCTGCTCTACTCTACCCAGGGGTGGGATATGACAGGGTTAACTACCTGTTCGGGATTTACGAGCTTCCCTGCACGCTGTGAGCCACGCATAGAGAAGCAACCTTTGAAACAGCCCTCTTTTCCTGCTTTTTTAACTGCAGCTGTGCCTCGTTCGGCAGCTGAAGTTGAAAAATCAGGAAATAAAGATCAGGTAAGAGCCCGGGTGGGCAAAAACATCAGCAGACATAGAACCGGTTCTATGTCTGCTGCTCTTCAGAGCTACCAGTTCTACAGAGGTGGACAGAACCGGTAGAAACCCACCCCCGACTCTACCTATTCCCTACCTAAGTGACTAAGTTTTTGTTTTGTACTGCTTATCCCTGAAAGTTAGGCTGTATTCAATTTTAATGCAATAAAGTTAAAATATTAAAGCTTTAAAACAAGAGATAAATTAAACAAGCCAGTATAATCCTTCAAAATGCTTGGAAATATACATTAAATATAATAAACTCCTAACATTGATAGCAATATCAACATTAATTAAACTTGAATTCCAAATTTCTTTATTTACAAATAGGCTTTCTGGCTCTTTAGCAACCGGCTTCGTGTTTGGAGCACTGCCGCTGTTTGGAGCTCCAAACGGCGGCGGAAGCTCCAAATGCGGAAGCTCCAAACATGACGGCGGGCGATCTTTTTATTTTGGTCCGTGCGAAGTTCAGAGCGAGCATGAGAGGGAGACCGCGATGCCTTGCTAAAGAGCCAGAAAGCAGCAAGGGCGCCAGGTGGAAAGGACAGGGTCGCGATCACACGGAGATGCCCAAAGCGCGGAGCGCACATAACTAAAGGCGGCGCACGCAGTTGGCTTGGGGACTACAAGGCAGCATCTGCGCCTCTTCCCGGGCGCGTCTCTAGGCTGCTTCCGGAGCTACGGGACGCTCTCCGTTGCCTACCAGCCCTTCTTCCTTGGGCTCCCTGCCGTGGGGTACACCCACTTCCTCCTGCAAATTACGCCTAGCAACTCTTCTCTCCCTTTCCTCTCGCTCCAAAAAGATCGCCATCGTATCCCGCCGATTCGGGCTTCCAGCCACGTTGTGATCCACTAGTGAGGTTGCCATCTCGGATGGAGGCATCGCAGTCTCCCTCTCTTGCTCGCTTTGAACTTCGCATGGACCAAAATAAAAAGATCGCCCGCTGTCATGTTTGGAGCTGCCACTTCCGCGTTTGGAGCTCCAAATGGCGACCGCACTCCAAACACGGAAGCGGCAGCTCCAAACGTGGCGGCGTAATGGGCAGAAGGGAAAGCAACAGCGGCGGGTGCCAAAGGTGTCTGCAGCAAAGGTGGGAGTAGGGAGCTCTCTGTGCTTGGCCATGATCGCCCGTTAGGAGCGGCTGGTGGCGAGGAATTCCGGCCCGCCGGGTGCTCCTAACGGCAAGTCTCCCCGCCCTTCCCCCTTATTTTGCATATTTTAAAATAGGCCTAAATTTGGGGGGGAGGGGTTTAATTTGATTTTATGCCCAAAAAACATGCTGGGCCTTCCTATTGGTGGAGGCCGTATTGTTGGAGAAACACGGTATGTTGTTTTTGTGCCTTTGGCTTGAAATACATGCATTTATCTCAATCACATATCTGCCTAGGAACTCGACTTGAATTACTGATTTCACGAATAATTTAGAAGTTATAGTGAAGAGGGTAGGCACTTTGATTTGGAATAGCAAGTAACTTAGTCATAAGAACCCACTCATATATTAGTGTGGGGTTTCCCCATATTATACAAACTGTTATACAAAACTCAAAGACATATGTATTCTTTTGGGGACTAAAAACCAATCTTAGTAAAATCCATATGCATTATTAATGGACTGAAATTAACATAAACTTACTGGGGATGCTAACTAAAAAACCAAAGTTTTCTGCAATCTGCTCATAAAATCAAAGATATGTGAAAATGGAATATCCATGAATATCTCACATTAAAATGAAAAGAAATTATTGCTGCTAAGCAACTCTGACAGAATGGCTGTTTGTATTTCTGAACAAGTAAATGATTGTTAATCAAATATAATTATTTAAAAGTTGGCGTGCGACCATGTTGACATCACTCTCAACAATCACGTCATTGTAGCTGATTTTAAGGAAATTAGCTACAATGATATTTGGAAAAAAAATTCAACATTGGTACTTACTTCAGTTCTTTACTAAGTACTATATTAATTCTGTTTTTTAACGGACGGTATTTCTCAGGGATGGAGAACCAAGTCTTCCTACCCATTATGACCACATTTTGCTTTCCTGTAAAATGCAAATAAATTTAATGTGATTATGTAGTGACGCCTAGTGGTTATAGTGTGGTATTTTTAGTCAACCTTTTCAAGCAATATTGCTACACCTCAAACTTTGAAGAAAAGCTCTTGATATCAGTGACTCACTGCAAGTTCAATTAGAGAAGAAAATAAAATTTGGATGGCCTCTGATGAAGGCAGATTCCCTTATGAAAAAAAGGATCTACTCAGTTGTGCATTTCTTCTGTGATTCCTGATGGATAACACAAAATATTAGGGGATTTGGATTGCAAATATATCAAGAAAATGTAAAGTTCTGTATGAAATAGCCATCTTTATACACTGCTCAAAAAAATAAAGGGAACACTTAAACAACACAATGTAACTCCAAGTCAATCACACTTCCATGAAATCAAACTGTCCACTTAGGTAGCAACACTGATTGACAATCAATTTCACATGCTGTTGTACAAATAGAATAGACAACAGGTGGAAAGCATAGGCAGTTAGCAAGACATCCCCAATAAAGGAATGGTTTTGCAGGTGGTAACCATAGACCACTTCTCAGTTCCTATGCTTTCTGGCTGACAGTTTGGTCACTTTTGAATGCTGGCGGTGCTTTCACTCTAGTGGTAGCATGAGATGGAGTCTACAACCCACACAAGTGGCTCAGGTAGTGCATCTCATCCAGGATGGCACATCAATGTGAGTTGTGGCAAGAAGGTTTGCTGTGTCTGTCAGCGTAGTGCCCAGAGCATTGAGGCACTACCAGGAGACAGGCCAGTACATCAGGAGACGTGAAGGAGGCTATAGGAGGGCAACAACCCAGCATCAGGACCGCTACCTCCACCTTTGTGCAAGGAGGGACAGGAGGAGCACTGCCAGAGCCCTGCAAAATGACCTCCAGTGGTCCACAAATGTGCATGTGGCTGCTCAAACGGTCAGAAACAGACTCCATGAGGGTAGTATGAGAGCCCGACGTCCACAGGTGGGGGTTGTGCTTGCAGCCCAACACCGTGCAGGATGTTTGGCATTTGCCAGAGAACACCAAGATTGGCAAATTCGCCACTGGCACCCTGTGCTCTTCACAGATTAAAGCAGGTTCACACTGAGCACATGTGACAGACGTGACAGGGTCTGTGGATGCCGTGGAGAATGTTCTGCTGCCTGCAACATCCTCCAGCATGACTGGTTTGGCAGTGGGTCAGTAATGGTGTGGGGTGGCATTTCTTTAGGGGGCTGCACAGCCCTCCATGTGCTTGCAAGAGGTAGCCTGACTGCCATTAGGTACTGAGATGAGATCCTCAGACCCCTTGTGAGACCATATGCTGGTGCGGTTGGCCCTGGGTTCCTCTTAATGCACGACAATGATAGACCTCATGTGGCTGGAGTGTGTCAGCAGTTCCTGCAAGACAAAGGCATTGATGCTATGGACTGGCCCGCCCATTCCCCAGACCTGAATCCAATTGAGCACATCTGGGACATCATGTCTTGCTCCATCTACCAACGCCACGTTGCACCAGACTGTCCAGGAGTTGGGGGATGCTTTAGTCCAGGTGTGGGAGGAGATTCCTCAGGAGACCATCCGCCACCTCATCAGGAGCATGCCCAGGCATTGTAGGGAGGTCATACAGGCACATGGAGGCCACACACACTACTGAGCCTCATTTTGACTTGTTTTAAGGACATTACATCAAAGTTGGATCAGCCTGTAGTGTTGTTTTCCACTTTAATTTTTAGTGTAACTCCAAATCCAGACCTCCACGGGTTGCTAAATTTGATTTCCATTGATAATTTTTGTGTGATTTTGTTGTCAGCACATTCAACTATGTAATGAACAAAGTATTTAATAAGAATATTTCATTCATTCAGATATAGGATGTCTTATTTTTGTGTTCCCTTTATTTTTTTGAGCAATGTATTTTATAGTCTATTTCCTGGACAATTGTTGGATTTTACAGTTTTCACTGATTTTGTTATGACACCATGGTGTTCTTTGTCTGTTGTGGGGATTTTTTCCTATTGGTTCTATTGGTTTTTATTGCTGCCACAAAATCCTTTACTGATTTGAAAATTATTTTGTTGTAAAATGGTGGAAGAGACATGTTCTTCCACCAGCCTCTCCCAATCTTCTTTCTCTTCTGATGCATCCCAGTCCCAGCAACGTTTCTCTTCTGTTCCTTCTCTCCAGAATATAACTTGGGACAAGTCTCTGCATGACTGATAGTTATAATATCCTTTTATCACGTGGACTGAGGAATTGATCCTTACATTAAGGATAGAAATAAACACAAACTGCACTTAGCTGTGCAGCGCCCTAGTCGAAAGAATTACACGAGAACTAGGTATTTCCTTATTCTCTAGGTCATTTTATATGATTTTAAATAAATCACTCCACTAAACATTTGGAATTTTACTAACATACTTTGAAGGGTTGTGTTAAGGAACTACAAAGATGAAAATACAAAATGTTAATACTGCAAATTGTGCTACTATGTAAAATAAATATGACATTGCTACCCTAGCTTGTTAAGGCTTTCTTATTAAGGCTGATTTCAACTGAACCAAGAATGTACTTCCACAACACATAAAACATTCTTCTCATTCAGCAGCCTGTGGGCTTCTGATAGGATCAATAATGTGCTTGGACCCTCAAAGCAGATTTGAGAATGTTTTGATTCCATTTCTTTCAAAACTGGGGATGGGAAATTATGATCCTTTTATGA